AAATAATTCTTTGTTGTTGGGGGCTGTCCTGTGCATTACTTAGCCAGTCCTAGAACTTCATATAAATAAAACATAACTCTTTTTTTTGTTTGGCTTTTCCCACTTAACATGTTTATGAGATTCATCCATGTATTTTGTGTTTTGTTTCTTTTTTATTGCCAAGTATTATTCCATTAAAAGCACAGTTTATCCTTTCTCCTGTTGATGGATACTTGGCCATTTCTAGTTTTCGGTTCTTATGAATAAAGCTGCTATGAACTTTCTTGTACAATCTTTTTTGGTGAGCATATGTTTTAATTTCTCTTGGCTAAAGAGCTAAGAGGACTTGCTGGGTCATAGGGTAGGGGTTGTACTTAGGTTCAGAAGAGAACACCCTTCCCTCTTCCTAAGTGGGTTTGAACCATTTTACATCCGTCTCCCCGGGGCAGGTACCAACCAGAAGAGCCCCCTCCATCCCACAGAGCACTGAAATGATTCCAACCAGCCAATCTGAAGCCTGCTTATCTTTCCTCACTGGTTCCTTCCCACAGAAACCACAGGAAAGGCTCTTACCTGTGTTTTCCTCCTGGTTCCTCTGCCTCTCAACCAACCCTGGTGCTTCTCCATGTGGCTCCATGTTGCCATGTCATGGTGTCACCCTCTCCTCTTGGGATCTGTGAGTTACAAACTATCTTTTCAATGGCCATCATCTCTTGCTCTGTTTGGCCTTACCATACCTGAATGATAATAAAACCTACATTTTAAAACAATGAGCGAAAAATACAGTATCTTTCTTTTTACCAACCTCTAACTACAACCTAGCATTTCCCTTAATTATGGTTGTAGGCAACCAACCACAGTAATTTCAGCAGTATTAGTGTGTTTGCTGCATTAGAAATCACAGATATTTTCCTATCACATGACAGTTGTTACAGACAACTCAAAACACTGTTTTTGTTCATCATTACCTTGAAATTATGGTAAGTTAATAAGCCTGCAGCAAGATGGGGAACTCAACAGGAAGGCTCTGGGCAACCCGGTCTAGGCTCCAAGCACCCACTGGCCTCCTGTGAATGAAGGAGAGAAACCCAGGACTCCAACCTAAAGAAAGTGAGAAGCCCCACAGGGTCGCCCAGAGGGGCGACAGGATGGTTCACTGGACCAGCCGGAGAGCACGGCCTTGAGACTGCAGGCCGCTGACTGGCGGGATCCTGCATTTCTGTACTTCAGTGTCCCCACAGCCCAGGACATATACAGGCACAACCTGTTTTTCTCTTCTTTGCTTTACTGCACTTCGCAGATGTTGTGTTGGTTTATTTTTTAAATGCAAATTGAAGGCTTAGGGCAACCCTGCATTGAGCAGTTCTGTCAGTGCCACTTCTCCAATAGCATTTGCTCACCTCATCCCTCTGTGTCACATTTTGGTAATTCTCATAATATTATAGTGATATTAAATAATTAAAAATTTAAATTAAATATTATAATAAAAGACTACAGCATAGAGTAAATGTAGCTTTTACATGCATTGGGAAACCAAAAAATTCATGGGACTTCCTTTATTGTGATACTTGCTTTATTGTGGTGGTTTGCAACTGAGCTCATAACATCCCAAGCTGTGCCTGCATCTCCTGTTGTATAGAAGATGGACACGATGATTTTGAGTGAATACCCTGACACCTAATTAAGCAGCAGTGCACCTCATGGTAAGTTTTTCCCTTCAGTGCTGATTATACAAAGAAGTCTCTGTCTGGCGCTAGGTGTCTTTTACATCTCTCTAGCTCTTGCTCATCCTTTTAAACAAACAGAGACCAGCCTCAAGTTTAGAATCATTGCATCTGTCTCAGCAATGTTCTTCTAGGGCAATCTACCCAAGCAAGAGAGATAAAAGCAAAAATAAACAAATGGGACCTAGAATCATTGCATCTGCATTGTACATGCATTTGCCATAGTGGTATATTTAAGTAAAAAAGAGAGAGAGAGAAAAGGAGGGGGTACTTTAAATACAAATATTAAGTAAATAACAGGTGGCTTGCAAATGTGGTGAAAATCTGACTGACAAATTCAAACTTGAGGCACACTGCCAAGTGATGTACTGAGGCCTTCTGAAGTCCTAGGAAATTCCCTGCAGAGTACTCTGTCCCTCTGCAAGGTGTGCTCATTCATTCACTCCTGTCTATGGAAGAAGCAGTTCACTGAGCACATATCGGGGCCAGGCCCTCTTAGTTTACCGAGAGAGAGATCTAGCAGCTTCCTGCCCCTCCCCATGTGGACGTGGAATTCCTCCTCCTGCTCAGGTGGCCTTCTCTCCAGAAAGGTTCCTTTCCTTGCCCCTCCTTTGATCCAAGAATCTCATTCTTGGATGAGTTGAATGTGCTCACTCACGGGTCAGTGAGCCTGCCTGGACCTATGGCCATCCCAGGCTATCACGGTAGGGAGTTGAAAACCTCTAACATCAGCATCCCTTGAGTGATGCGTGAGGGTCTCACCCCTTGGCGTACCCAAGGAGTAAACAGTCTGCCTGGGAAGCACTCTCAAAAAAGAAGGGGAAAAAGTCGGGTTTCATCTGACATCCACAGAACCACTCAGGTGAGAAGCCCTTCTGCCTCCAGCAGGCATTCTGCAAGATGCACCACAGATCTGTCCTTTGTCAGAGACCCCTCACATGTAGCCAAGCACAACCTGGGACACTGTTGTCTTTGATTCATATTCCAATTTCAGAAATCTGCAATTGCTCTGGGTATATATGTGATTTAGAAGAGTTATACATGACAGAAACCTAATTTAAACTGGCTTACAAAAAATGAAAGAGGTAACTAATTTACTCACTGAACCGAGAGGTGTGGGGATACAGCTATTTCAGGCATGGCTAACCTAAGGACTCACATGCTGTCAGACCTCGGTTTCTCCCCAGCTTGGGCTCTTGCTTCTGCTGTGCTTGCTTCAGTTTTGGGCTCTGTCTAGTGGCTGGATGGAGACAGGACTTCCGGTCCCTACTTCCTCTCTGGTTGCAGGTCCAGCAGGAACTCCTGGGCACATAGGGTTGTGACCAGGGTTCTGACTTGGTCATATGCTGTTCCTGTCAGGGCTAGGGGTGTGGGAGGCAGGGATCGGCTTGGGGTGAGGGGGACCTGTGCTCTTCCACAGGAACTGGGCCTGAGGGCAGCTTCTCTGGGACAATGTGAACCACAGAGGAGGATTCCCCGAGGACAATAGGGGTACAGTTACTAGAGGGGTGGAGAACGAATGTTGGCAGGGAAAAACAGACATTCTTGGCTTCATATAGATGCTAAATGGAGGAGCCAGGGTTGGACCAGGAGAGTTGATCTTAGAGCTTGACTTCTAAGCCTCGGTGGTCTGTGACCCGCACTGTGCCTGGCAAACAGCAGGTACTTAATATCTATGCATTGAGTGAATTTCCTGTTGCTGTGCTCTGCACACTTGCCTGTTGGGAACCCTTGTTTCTCCGGACAGGCACCTGTTGCCTTGCCTCTCATCCTCCAGAAATTGAATCCTATTCTCACATGTGAGCCCCTCCCACTCTCTTCTTTTGCAATAAAACTCAGTCTGAAATGAAACATCAGGAGAGACTCTAGCCTGAGTTATGAATGCACACACATACACATATTTATGCCCTGCGAGTTCCTGACACATCCCTTCCACCTGGGTTCGGGGTGGTGCGTGCTAGAGGCTGTTTAAGTGTCAGATCCTGGGGGCCTGGGAGCCATGCAGAGATTTCCCCTGGAGTGCGGTATGTGGGAATAGTGACCTGGCACAGACCCCCACCAGCTCAGGGTCGTGCACAGCAGGTCTGGTACCAAATGGAGGATGAGCTGGGGGCTCAATTCCAAGGAAGTAGATGGGCAATGCAGTGCCAGTCATCAGCCCTGGAGAAACGCTGATGGTGGTGGGTACAGCTCCCTGGCTGACTGGTGCCCAGCCCTGAACCTATGATGGAAATGAACCAGAGGCTTCAGAAGGACACCCTGTCACTGTGCCTAGAGCTGCGCCCTCTTAGTCAGCTCAGGCTGCCATGGCAAAATGCCATAGACTGGGTGAAACAGAAATTTATGTTCTCTCAGTTCTGGAGGTTGGGAAGTCCAAGATCAAGGTGCCAGCTGGATCAGTCTCACTCTGAGTCCTCTTCTCTTGTCTTATAGGTGGTGTGTGCTCAGGAGGTGGGGAAAGGGATGAGCTCTCTGGTATCTCTTATTAGGGCACTAATCCCATCACGAGGGCCTCACCCTCAGGACCTCATCTAAACCTGATTACCTGATTACCAAAGACCCCACCTCCAAATACCATCACACTGGGGACTGGGACTTCAACATATGAATTTGGGGGGGACACTTCCAGTCCATGGCATATGCTAAGTCCCTTTGGTTCATCATCCAGTCCCACCTGCCCAGCACCCTGGAGGCTAAAGCCTGACGGGCAGAGTAACTGGTCCACATCTCGGAGCTGCGATGGCAGAGCCAGGATTTGGACCCAGGTTCACCTGGTTCTAAAGCCCACACATGGAACTGTTAGGCTCTGTAGTCCTCCAAGGGCTGGAAACCCACACAGATGGAAGGCTTCCGAAAGCCAGAGCCACGGCAGGGAAGCAACAGATTAGAGAAAACCTCCACCAACTTACTACCAAGTGAATTTAGCTGGGCTGTTTGAGACGGGAAAACATGTGGCAGTTAGTTCAAAGTTTAAAAAAGGCAGAGAGAAGTGAAATGCTCATAGCTTCTTTGCTAGTGACAGAGTAGGAGGCTCCTGCCCTCTGTCATTGCATTTCTAGTGTCTCTCACTGCACAGAGTTTGTGGATGTGGGGAGGAGGACAGAGGGAAGGAATGGGGTGACTGGTGACCTGGATCACATCTGGGTACTGATCCTTTAATGCTCCTCACCCAGAGCCAAGTTTTCTTAAACTCTAATCATACAAAAGATCAAAGAATCTTCACATTTTCCTTGCTGTTACCTCCCAACACTCAGAAAAACTGCAAAAAGAGAACTATAACAAGCAAAATATGGCAGGGAAGGTATAGCTCAGTGGTAGAGTGCATGCTTTGCCTGTAGGAGGTCCTGGGTTCAATCCCCAGTACCTCCACTAAAAAAAAATATATATATTTTTAAATATATATATATATATATTAATACCAAAACATACCCACAGATCAGGGTTGCTAAAGTTTGTGTCTGTGTTTCCTTCCAGGCTTTTTTTTTTGTGCTTAGATTTATTATTTTTTATAATTTAACATAGAATCATACTATATATGCTCCACATTTGACGATACAATTGCTGCAAATGACAATTTTCTTTTCATCATACACATGCTGTGCTTCATCCTTGCATTCAGAAAACATGTGCTGATCCGCTTCTCAACAGAGTGCAGTAGGACACAAAGAACAGAGCTGCAAGGACCCCGGGGAATTGGGGATGAAAGCAAGAGGGGGCCTTTATTTTACAGATGAGGAGCCTGAGGCCTGGAGGGGTGCAGGGCTGTGTTCTGGTCACTTGTTAGCCTCCCAGTGGGTCTCCCCATCTGAGTTTTATGGGTATAACGCCAACTGGGTCCCCAGACGTGACTGTCCTCCATTGGACCCCCCTAGATATGCTGTCCTCCCTTCTCCAGATTTCTCTGTGACCTGGACAACTGACCCACGGGTCCTCCATCACCCAGGCTCCCTTGCCTTGTGGTTATGGTGGGTTTCAGCCAATGGGAAGACTGGCAGGACAAGGAGGAAGGACAGTGAGAGAGGAGTGCTCCCCTGATGCCTTCCAGGCCACGGTTTAGCAGCCCTGGTTCCTCTCCTGAAAGTCACAGCTCCTTCGGTGGCCTCTTCCTACAGGTCTTACTGCTGCTGGTCATGGCTCCTTCTCCTGGACCTTTCAGCTGGGAGAGGTACAGGCTTGTCCCTGGGGCTAGTCCTGGGTATATCCCTATTCCCTGATGATTTCCCTTAACTGGGCCCACACATATACAGCCTCTTTATAAATCAACTCCCTTCACCCACCCCTTTGCGTGTGCCCTCTCTGGGTGCCCTCGACTGACACCCCATGCTAAGTACGGCCCCTCCTGGTCACCACCGGTGCTGCGCTCTTCCCTCTCCCCCGTGTGGATCACTGTCTGAAATTAACTTCGGTGTTTCCTGAGTTCCTGTCTCTCCCCCTGGACTATGAGCTCCATTAGGCCAGGGGCCTTATCTGCTGTGTCCACCACTGTATCTCCAGCACCCACCCAGACCTCATAGCCAGAACCCAATGCATAGTCATTGGATGAGTGAGTAAATAAATAGGCAAGTCAGAACCTGAACCTGAGTTTTCTGATTAATTCAGGGTTCTCCAACCTTCCTACAATTTAGAAGATAATGAATGGAAGAGTCTGATGTCAGGCCTGCCCCATTGTTTATATTCTAGTTGAATGTAATTATTATACAGTAACAATAATGCCACTGTAGTCACCACTTATTAGATACTCATCTAGCTCCAGGTACTAACCCTCCCTCCCCACCTCCCACAGGCCTGCAGGACTACACTCGGAGATGGGACTGATGTGGCAGATGAGAAGCTGAGCCTGAACATAAGGACCTGCTTGCTCTTCCTGGACTGGCCGGCTACAGGCTTGAGGGCACAGACAGCAGAAAGGCAGAAGCAGCCCTGCAAAGCGGGGCCTGCCTGTGCTCCGCTGTGGCCCAGAACACAGCCTGGTGTGTGCTTGGCTGGCTCCCTATCAGTACGTGATGGATGAGCGAATGTTCAGTGGATGTGGAAGTGTGGACCTTTGGCATAGCCAGAGGTCCCTGGCATGGTGGGGGAGCCCTGGGGGTTGGTAGAGCCTCTTCTCCAGCCACCCTGGTTGAGTGCCAGGAGTCCAGGCTCCAGCCTCCCTTGATCTGGAGGATGTCTTCCTCCCTGAGGGCTGTTTGAACCCCAAACTCTGGGCCGGTGCTAGGGAGTCCTAGCTGACACCATTTGTGAGTCTTGGCACCAATCATGTACTGCTTGGGATGGTGGGGAATGTGCTGGTCTGGAGGAAAAGCAGCTATGAGGATGAGCCAAGTCCAAGGCTGGAGTCTTATCAGCCCAGCTCACTTGCCTGAGGTCATGAAGCCAACACCATAGAACCAGGACTTGAACCTGGCACTGATTCTAGAGCCCTGACCCTCATCCACCCTTGCTTCAGAATAGACAGCACAGTAATTATAGAAACTGTCACTTATTTGTAATCTCACACCAACAGCCCAATGGGAAGGACCCACTCAGACTTACCTCCTGTTGGCTACTATGGACCACATGGCTGGTGAAGTCCTGGGGCATCCAGAGGGTGTCCTCCATTCTTAGGCCACATGGAAAAAGGCACGAAGCCAGGAGGGGGTTGGGCTGGCTCTCCTTCCCGGCGGGACCCACAGCCAGCTCGGTGCTCTCCCTAGGGGCAGCCTTGCAGACTCCCTCCATGGGCATCACTGATGCTTTTCCTGGGCTGCAGGGAGACTTGCTGTCTCCACACAGCATGACCCACTGGGAATGGGGGCTATTTACAGCGCTGAGAGTTCTGGCCAGTTCTAGGCCCTGGAGCACCTGGTTCCCAAGTCTAAGCTGGGCCATTCTCATTCAGGGCACATAGCATCAGGGAGGCTGCAGGCGGTGAGGCGTCCAGGCCAGGGTTCTAAATCCTGGCTCTGCACAAACCAGTCATGGGAGACCTTCAACCAGTCACTTCAGCTGCTTGGTCCTAGGTTTTCTCACCTGTGAAAATGGAGATTTTTATTTTATATATATATATATATATATATTTTTTTTTTTTTAGTGGAGGGACTGGGGATTGAACCCAGGACCTCACGCATGCTAAGCACGCACTCTACCACTGAACCATACCCTGCACTCACTGTCAGGATTATAGAGGGCAAAGTACATGGAATTCCACTGAGGCTCTGACACCCATGTGGTCCAGTCCTGGGGCAGGGTTCTTAGGCCAAATTTAGAAAGGCACAGCCCATTGAAAATCCAACAATTGATCATATCTTTTTGAGTACAGACGGGGTCCAGGTACAGACGGCACCGGCACTTTTGGCCCAGTGACCGTCCTCTGTAATACCACACGTCTCCCATGAGATGCTCACTTTCCTTCCCAGAAACCTTCTCCTTCATGCATGCATATCTACACTACACCCCCCTTGCCCCCGCCAGGCCCATGCACTGCAGCCAGAGCCCAGCTCCAGAAGGCCCCGCTCACAGTGTATGATGGACGGGTCGGCACCACAGCCCTACTGCCACCTGCTGCAGAGGTGCTGCCACTGCTCTGAGTTCCCTCAGGTGGTTCCTCTCCTGTCTATCTCCCAGAACTTGTCAGGCAATGGCTGTGCCCTCCAGGGAGGGTATGGAAGGAGATGGAGTGGGTGCTGCCAGCGGCACATTCACATTGTAATATCTAGGGTCCTGACACTCGCGGGTAAGTCTCTAGTTCCCTAAGGTGGCAGCTCCAGAACTACCTAATGGAAAGTCTCCCTGCTGTTTAGCATCTGGGCTGCCAGTGGGCTTAGAAAATGCCTGCAGCCAAGGATGAAAAAACCTAGAATGAAGCAACTCAGGCCCCCCTCTCTCCTCATGGAACCGACTAGCCCGAGTGGCCCTACACGAACAGGACAGGGTAGTTCTTGGTATTTTCTAGGTGATGGATTTGGATGTGCCTGCAAACCTTCACTAAAGTGAGACATCTCATCAAGGAACAGAGCAAGCAGGTCAGTGGCAATGTTTGGGAACCAGGAAACACCCAAGGATTCAGGCTCCCCCCACCGCAAAGAGGCCCTGGGAATGGTGCAGCCTCATTCTCCAAGGCCCAGAGACACGAGGACAGTGAGCTTGAAGGGCTGGAGGGGCGGGGGCTGCCCTGGATGCCACTGTGTGCAGGGCGCCACAATACACTGGAAACGCAGTGAGAGGGGAAAAAAATCATCTTAATTAACCAGAGCTCTTTTCAGAGTAAGCCAGGCGTGGGGCAGAAGGCATGCTTTGGCAAGGCTCTCAGAGCAAGGGTGGAGTAAGTCACACAAGCAATAACACCTGCTAAGTGGATCCTGGGCAGGTGACTGAGGAACTCCAGAGCTTGTTTGCCACGTCAGGGAAGCAAGTTTGGGTCTGAGAAGGGCTCTCAAGACAGTATAGAGACTGGGCCCTGTACCAGGTCTTCCTTCTACCATCCCCCACGCAGGGTCAGCCAGGGATGGTAGTTCTGACAGCTGCCTGTCCAGGTGCCCTTGCATCTCAGTTAGGACATGGCTAATGGAACCAGCGTCCCTCGGTCTTTGTTACCTGCTTCACTCCACCTCCTGGTGGAAGGTTCCTATTATAGTAGAAGAATGTCCCTAAAAGATATGTTGAAATCCTAACCCTTGGTACCTGTAAACGTGACTTTATTTGGAAACAGGGTCTGTGCAGAGGTAGTCAAGTTAAGAGAGGTCAATAGAGTGGGCCTGGTGAATAGGACTGATATTCTTTAAGAGGGGAAATTTGGACAGAAAGGGGGACATACGCAGAGGAAGATGATGCAGACACACGTGTGTGCGTGCAGAGAACGATGTGTGATGGCGGAGCCACAGACTGGAGAGATGCATCCACAAACCAGTGAATGCCAGGGATTGACAGAAGGGGTGGAGAAGGGTCTCCCCTAGGGCCTGCAGAGGGAACGTGGCCCTGCCGACACCTTGATTTCAAATCTCTAGGCTTCAGAACTGCGAGACAAGAAATTTCCATTATTTTAAGCCCCTCAGTTCATGATACCACATTACAGAAGCCCTAGGAAACCAACCTAGTTGCTTCCGACACAAGAATGTTGGAGCCTTGTCTGTAAGCATTTTTCCTGGTCTGGCCCAGCGCACCCACCAGTGGCTGGAGTGAAAAATGTCCACAGAGGCTTTCCCAGAGGATACTGCACAAAGCACCACTTAAGAGAACCCTGACGTCTACACAAAGTAGCCTTGGTTCTTCATCTGTAAAAAGAGGAGCTGGGATGGAATTGGCTCTCTCTAAACTCTAACTTGCTTCAGATTTGTAAAACCACCCAGTCCCGATCAGATGATAAAGAACCAAGGAATTGTAAAGTCCTTGAG